AAAAAAGTTTTTTACCAATTTCCCATGGACTTCTAGGGTGAAGGTAACAAGGAGCACTGTTTCGACAACTCATTATAGTGCAAAGCAGATTTACAGAGTCTGTGCGGCAATTAATATATAATAAAAAGTCGCTGCTATTTCAAGGGCCCTTCAAAAAGGACTGGTGATTTGGTCAAGCACGCAGATGCTCGTTATGTTAGTGCAAGAAACATACAAGATACAGATGTAATATTAGGTTTTTTCTGAGCTTTTTATAGCATTGCTCAACAGTATCAACCAAATTTTTCGGCAAGTTGGTTACGCTCTGATGTAGCAGCGGAATGTTGATTTTTGATACAACTGTGCAAATATGATCTGATCGCAGCGGCATGATCTAGCAAAATTTACTTCCTGTTAATCATCTTAAATTTGGAGTGCTCCGTTCGTTGTCCGCATTTCTTCCGAGAGACACAGCGTAAGGTACAGCGGTGGTCTTCGTCAACAAAGGTTGGATTTTGAAATGGAGTCTAGTGATTCCGACAAGATCATCGAGATTCTGCTCATTCTGTTTCTTCCGGTAAGTTACTACTCAGTTTTCCTTCAGCGTAACCTTTATTATCCCCAGCTCGAAATAACATACTTTCCCGTCTCTGCCTTTTGAAGTTAACATCAATCTATCGACTGTACTTTTTCAGCCGTTAGCGATATGGTACCATGATCGAAATTGCTCCGGCGCAGTCTGTCTCAATATTATTCTACTGTTCCTCTTCGTGCTTCCATCGATTGTCCATGCTATGTGGTACTGCTTCATGAGAAAGGAGCCCAAATAGACTTGTCAAGGACCTGCAGTTTTTCATAATGTTTTCAAAACTTAGAGTTTTGATGGAGGCTTAAAAAATATGTTATTTGTGTCAGTTCTAAATTACTTTTGTAATTTGTTGAGTTATTCTTTAAAATGATAAGGTAACATATGATTGATTATCAGAAAAAATGACGAGCAGATTGGTCAAAGCAACCAATTAACTTGTTGAACATGGTTAAAATATCTCCGGCATTCTTCTGATGCGGTTAATGAGATTCCAATTTTTGTTGAGTGAGTAGTTGACTGGACAAGTTGATCCCTGCGGTAACAACTGATACCTCAATGTAGAAAAGAGAAATAATTGAAGAGCCGTCCTCCGAACAGCATTGATTGAAGCGCTCAACTAAAACTTAGCTCAAATCAAGATAGGCACACTGTGACTATATTAATGAGCGCACCCTATTGTTAAAATACATTATGGGCAATTAAGCATTAGGGGTTAATAAGGACATAGCTATGTCAACTCTACACCTAGAGCGCAATAGAAATTCCGGAGTCAATTCTTCCTATAACAGAAGCCATTTTAACAATGGTCCGTAGTAAAGCTGCCTCAGTCGATCTCGACTGAATAAAATTTCAGTCGAGGCTTCGACGAGTCAGCTT